AAATTACTCACCTCTGGCTTGCAGGCCTTACAGAGTGAGCCCAGTGAGGCTACAAGACATTGAGAGGAAAAATCATCTGTGCCCTTATTACATTTAGAGTGAGAAACAATTTGGAGTAGAGTGAAAATGTCACCATTGTGGGCCACATGAGTGAGGGCCCACATCATAGCATGCTTGGAGTGTGAAGGCTGATCCAAAACCACCATGACCCTCTTCTTCACACCAGAGGTGCTACCTTTTTCAACTCCACAAATGTTTTTCAGCCCATCTATTTGGCCCAGGTTGGGCCCACAACCTCTACCATCAGACTCAGCCCATCTCTTGGAAGAGGATTTCCAAACCCCTTTGCTGCTCAGCTGCCTTAGATATGAATCTGAAGTTGGCATTTTGTGAAGAAAGAAAAAGAAAAATAAAAAATGGAAATTGTATTTTTCTGGGGTTGAGCCTGTAGAGGGTCACTGAGATTGTGAGTTTCTTGGACTGTATGTAAAATGAATGTACTTTTATTAAAAATGGTTTAATCTTTAATGGAGTGTGTGTGTGTGTGTGAGCCTGTGAGGATATAAATGAGAAGCAGAGGATGGGCACAACATTAGATTGCTATATTATTTATGATTTTGAAAATGGTTCAATTATTTTTTTTCTTTTATTATTATTAATTTTCTTTTTATTTTATTTTTTATTTTTTTGGTGAAGGTTTAAGGATGGGATGAATTGGATATAAGATTTTTAATTATATGTTGAGTTAAGATTTATTCTATTGAAATGAAAATAAATAATTTTTTTTAAAAAAAAAAATTATGATCATTTCATTTTAATTTATCTCTACAAATTTTACTAACACGATTAAAATATTAAAAAAAGAAAGAAAATTTATTTTATATTTTTCAATAAAAATAATATTCATTAATTCATATATTTATAACTACGAATTACTATACATCAAAATTTATAATTTTGATATTGCATAAACTTTATTTATTATATTTTTATAAATTCATTTGCAATCTTAAATTTATTTATTTATATTCTTTTTCCCATTTCTATCTCATTTTCCGATGGAGACATTTTTTAAAAAAAAAAATCTTTTTTCCACTACTTTTTGTAGGTTTAAGAATACAGTAATTAAGGGGTGATTATTTATGGATTCAACTAGTTTTTATTTGGTTTGTTTTTTAATTATAGTTAATTTTGGAGAAAGGTGGTATGGTTAGTTGTTAGTTGATATATTAAAATAATATTTCAATAAAATAATTAAAATTGATATGATGTAAAAGTAGGAGAAAAATGATTGAAAGTGATGGTTAGTTAAAATTGTGTGAGTGGATGAATAGTGAATTAAAGTTGACGTGATGTGTAAGAATAATTAGTTGATATTATTTAATTATATTGATAATATGAGAGATAGTGAGATTGTGTTAAAGTTGAGTTAAATATGAGTTTTGATCGATTTTTTTACTATACAAACTATAAACAATGGCCCCCTAAGAAGTACCATTGGGGATTCATCTTTTGTGGATTATTTTATTACGAAAATTATTTAACTTGATGCTTATTTGTGTAGCCCCGTTTTTCTTTGCTTTGTCAATTTATTGCTCTAAAATAATAATAATAAATAAATAAATAAAACGAACTCATTGCAACCTTTTTTAAATTTTAATGTGCACTGGACACTTTGAAATGGTTATAAGTCTTCCATTTTTACCAAATTAAATTGGCAGCAATGATGCACATAAGCATAAACTGTAGGTTTTAAATTTTAATAATAGCATTTCTATTTCAACGCAATAATACAAATGGAAAGTAATTATATTGGCACACAATTTATTTATGAAATGAAAGATGGATATATATAGGTAAGAATTTAATGGATGAAAAATGACAATATATAATGAATATTTACTGCTGCAGTACAGTGCTTACTTTTCATGACAATAAATTCACCTCATCACCCGTAGCATAATATTCGTTTCTATTCACAGTTCACTTATTGGGAAATTTTTTAAAGCTACCATAAAGTCTTTACATTTACATCTTATATTTATATTTAATTATTATAAATTACAAAATTTTGGGTGAGTCGACATAATTAATAGACGGCCTAACAGAAGATCAGTTGTTATAGTTTGATGGACTGTGGTCTTGACGAGCTCAATAGGCAAAATTCTAGAGAAATAAATATGAAATAAGATTATTAATGAACTAATGGAAGGGAAAACTAATAGAGATTATTAATTATTTTTGTTTCATAATCCAATATCGTATATGCTAAAATATGTATCTTTAGTTTAATTCTAATTTCAAAACTAACAATGATTTTTGCTTCTTCATACATATTATTTTGTCTCTTTTATTTTTTAAGCAATTCTTAATAGTTTGACTTATGCTAATTATTTGATTGGATAACAGATACTGTACCATCAAAATCAAAATTAGGATACCAAAGCCAGCGTATTCATTTACCGTATTCATTAAGCAATTCTTAATAGTTTGACTTATGCTCTAAGGGACTATCTTCACTATTTTTTTAATGAAAAATTATATTTGTATTGTGAGATTGTTATCTTTGAAAAAAATGTCTTACATTTTTTTTTCCACAAAAGAATATCGACAAAAACAAAATAAAAGTATACGTGAATGAATTAAGAGGGAGTTTGAACAGTGAAATGTCAACGGTCCCTCGAAAAATTTACACACTTTTATGAAATCCACCCTCCGACTATTAGGAAATTTTCGAAATAATTCGATATTTGAGTTCCAAGCAATATATCATTAATTAAATTTTTTTTTTTTTTTGTTATAAATTGGATATCGAAATACACGGGAATCCTACGAACTGAAGTATATTTTTCAATTCTTACAAATGAACTAAAATTATAAAATTACAAAAACAAAAAGATTATAGTCGAGACTAGTTAACTCTTTCCACATAGACTTACGAACTCCGGCGAAGTGGAACGGAATTGAGAACTGAACACTTAAAATTAAAATGAAAATTATCTTCCTTTTACTATTTTGATAACAAATAGTTTTGCTTCAATAGAAATATCTTATTTTATTTTTTTTTCTGCTTTTTGTTNTATACACGTAATGCTTGAAGCTTGAAGAAAGCTTACTATTACAAAGTCAGAGCACCTCTCAAATGTCATATCTTCACGCAACAATTCAAGTAGCTAGGGTTCCATTAACCTTTTACACTCAATAACTATTCTAACATTTTATTTTATTTTTTTTATATCTTTTAACGGAAAATATTAGTTTGCTCTAACAATGTAGAAAATGGTTTAATCGTAACACTTGATATACAATACATATATATACTAAGTTTATTTATTTAATTCAATTATTTAAAATATAAGGTAAACCTTGCCATTTACTTACCTCCTTGCAGAAAACAACTATCGTGCAAAAGTCATTCAAAAAAATTAGAATTTTTATGGTCCGGCTAAACCATATTGCCTAGTGATTAGGCCGAATTGGTTTAATTACATTATATAATTAAGAAATTCAATCTAGTCCACTCTAATCAAGAAAAATTAGGCACTAGATTAAAATTAAAAAGAAAAAAAAAGTAAAATATAAGAACTAAAACAACTCTAATAATGATTAAATAATACTATTAAAATTTAAGTTGCTCGTTGTTGACCTTTGTGCAGTGTGCAAATGGTGGTGATTTGTGAGCGTCTCTTTATGAAATAGTCAAATGTTTTGTCTGTTTCTATTGGTAATGAGAATTGCTATTTTTCACTCTAAAATTTATTTATGGTTTCAGATCTCGGGAATATAATTTTCTCAGGGATGAAAAATGAAATTAAAATATAGTAGTATGTTTTTTGCTCTCTCTGTTACTGGTCCAGATAAGCTTGACAGTTAACAGTCATACAAATGTAACAGTGTCATACTATACAAATGCATCATACTTGTTTTCTTATCATAAAATTATTTTTTTTAATTAAAATATATATATATATATGTTAATAATATATCAGTCTAATGGTTATGCCAACCTAACAAAAAACTAACTAAAATACGCAATGGCAAATTATTAATTATTAAATCATTGAAAAGGAAAGACCATAGTCTAAACGGGTGGATTTTACCCCCATAGAGTTCTGCCATATTCTGTTGACCATACAAACCCAGAGAGTTCGGCCCACTGAAAATATGCAATTCCAGCCAACTGGCCCAAATGAAGGAAATGCAATGCTCGGCAACTGGTTTAGATTCAAATACCATAACAAAACAAAAACAATAACTAATAAGCTACCCAATTTCAAAAGGATGTACAATCTGAGAAGAGGATGGATACTGTTCTATACACTGGTGGTACTCGGTAAACAATTCTCATGCAATAACACAAAACAATTAATAATTCCCAACACTACAATTTATATGTAAAGAGCCCTCCCCTTTAAAATCTAAGGGGTTTTTTTTTTTTTTTTTTAACCAAAGTTTTGGCTTTGCAATCAAAAAGACCATACAATCCACCCTCAGAAAAAAAGGCTACACTTTCCCTTGAGATGCAGCTGTGGTACTTCTCAAGATCCGTTTCTTCACATCACCGTCCAAATTCTCATGCCTATCGCCATTTTCAATTTTCCCGTTTTCCTTCAAAGGCCCATTTGGACAAGCATTGGTTTCCTCTGCAGATTGGCTCGTCTCAAGACTGCCATTGATAGTATTATCCTTATCTTTGGGTGAATCGAGGTGGCTAAGACAATCGTTATTTTCAGACAACTCGCCATTATTGACTGGGCCCACTTTGATATCTGCCTTGTCTGATGAGTGGACCGGCATTGGCATGGTTTCACCAGATTCAGCTACTGCTATTGTCTCGTTATTATGATTTTCAACGTCAGCAGAATAATTACCTGCACTTGGTTCAGCTACACCACCACCATCATCCTCCACTTGATTTTTTCGAGTATTTTCATTGCAAGTTTGAGGTTCAGTGGACTGTTCGGCAGATTTCGCGTTCACTGCCGCATCTTTGGTATCTGCCTCGTCTTGTAAGTTGACGGGCTCAATGACAACCGCTTTCTCGATATTATGATTTTCAAGGTCAGCAGAATTACCTGCACTTGGTTCAGCTACACCACCATCATCATCCTCCACTTGATTTTCTCGAGTATTTTCGTTGCAAATTTGAGCTTCAGTGGACTGTTCGGCTGATTTCGCGTTCACTGCCCCATCTTTGGTATCTGCCTCGTCTGCTAAGTTGACGGGCTCAATGACAATCGCTTTCTCGATAAGATTATGATTTTCAAGGTCAGCAGAATTACCTGCACTTGGTTCAGCTACACCACCATCACCATCCTCCACTTGATTTTCTCGAGTATTTTCATTGCAAGTTTGAGGTTCTGTGGACTGTTCGGCTGATTTCGCGTTCACTGCCCCATCTTTGGTATCTGCCTCGTCTGCTAAGTTGACGGGCTCAATGACATCCGCTTTCTCGATAAGATTATGATTTTCAACGTCAGCATAAGTATCTGAATTTTGTACAGCTTCTTCTTGAGCATATTCATTGCAAGTTTGAGGTTCAGTGGACTGCACCACAGCTGATTCGGCTTTGTCTTGTATGTTTTGGTCCTCCTCGGGTTTCACTTCAGGGCAGCACTCTGTAGTTAAAAACGATAATTTGCAAAGACAGTTAATAACTAATTGAGAATAATAACGAACGAAAGTTTGCTAGAGAGAGAAAGGGAGAGAGATTTTAATGAAAATACCTGCAGATTCCATATGTTCTTGAGTAGACTGGTTCATATTCAGGGGTTTTTGTAACATGTCAACCCCTGGGAACACAATCATGCTCATGCGTGCCATTTCTTTCCGAGTTGACTCGTCAAGGGGACCGAAACCGAATACTTTTGTCCATGTCTCGTTAAGTTCGGATATTGCGGGAATCACCAGTTTCTCAACACCAAGTGTGCAGAGCACCTGAGAAGATTTTAAACGAGAATATTTAATAAAAAAAAAAGAACTCACTAAAACAAACACAAAAGGACTTGCACGACTGACCAAGCAGCAGAACTCAAATTCCGACTAAAGTTTCCAACTCAGCAACATGTAACGATACATAAAATTTCCAAGCATACCTTTTCAATCGAAGATAGAAGCCTGCCGCACATCCCTTGACGACGGTACATAAATCGGGTTCCTATAAAAGGCATCTCGGCTAGTTGACTCCCGTGAATTCTGCTCTCGAGATCGAAATGGAAATTTGTCAGACTCATTCGACAAATACACGCCACCAACTAAGTATATCGGAAGATAAGATTATATACTAGAAAAGCATTTCATAGGGGAGTTGATACATGAATAAACTTAGAAAAAAGTATTCAAGCAAATTACGAATCACATCAAAAGTTCAATATCCGAATTTAATGTTTTGCATATAGGATCTGACCATTAGTTTTCATTACCGCAAAGGGACAGGATAAATGTTTCGGGAAGTAAATATACATATTGGGAGATAAACTGTTTAAACAGAATTCACTTGGTGAGAACTTTTAGACAACATCAGAATAACTAATTACACAATCAAAAGACCAAATGGTAAAGAAAAAGATAGACGATAAAAAAGGTTATTACCAAAAGAGATAGATAAGAAGATAGAACCCAAAAGGTATCAGATTATCAGCGAAAAATACAATTTTCAAGTAAGATTCTCGGTATGACGGTAAAATGATCTTGCAGCATATTATCAACAAATTTCGCACCACAAAAAGTGTGATGGGTAGAAATTTATTTCCTTACATGCATTACACATGGGGATGTGTCTAGCAAAGAACACGGTGAACATCATAAAAGACGTATAATTAACACCATAATGACATCCAGAACAACATTAAAAATAGACAACCTTATCGATGCTGCTGCTACGGCTTCGTCACCCTTCTCTAGTACAATGGTATAAAATCCATCGTAGTTCAATCGTCTAATATTTGACCTAGGAGAAAAAAAATACGAAATGGCTGAGTGATCAATTTTATATGTTACAGGTAATGATCAACCAGCGAAAACAATATATCTAGACAGGCTGTTTGTTTAGCATAAGCAATATGGCCATAATATTTTGGTAACATACAGACTCCAAATACATAAATCTGATAAAGGTCGCATTTTCAGCATTTCCGTGACTTATTTGAACAATCTATCATCACGCGCATGAAAATTTTATGAGTCCCATAATTTTACTGCTTGTAAGTTTAATCCTTTTTTGCAAATAAAACCAAAGCAATCTCAAAGAGGAACGTGACTACTTTAGAAGGTTATCAAATTGACATAACCAACCAGCACATATAAAGCAACTGAAATGTGCTTACCCACAGCTGTAGACAACATTGTGAATCATGTTGGTTCCACTTCGCTCATCTATGATAGGTTCAAAACATTCATCCATGACTAAGAAACCAACAGCTAACTTAGCATTGCTTTCTAACTTTGAGGAGTCACCATCTAGAGCTGCATCACCACTTACAATATGATGTAAAGTATAGAAAAATCCTTCGCCAAGTTCATGTTTAACACCAAGAAGAATCTGTAACTTCTCAAATATCTGTAGATGAAATGTAGTAGACATGTCAGTACAGAAATACTTACAAGGCCTGAAAGCAAGGATGGCTAGAAATCTAAAACTAAATCGGTAAGAGGTTTAACAAGACAAATTAATCCAAAATTTTCGCTTAGAAGAGAAAAAATCTCATTTAATAGCTAGGGGAAATACCTCATAGCACCCTTTCCCACAGAAGGAACTATTTGCATGGTCAAAATCTTCAGCAATGGTTCCTTCAATACAATGCATGTGATCTGCATAAATTTTGTATCAATCAGACCACCAGCTTATATGATTACTAAAGAAAGTATTTCACAAAATTTAATAGAGAACTCAGAACTGGAGCAAAAAGACTCAAGCTCACATTTCTCCTCGCACAAACGGCATGTAAACAACTCAGATGATAAACTGCTTTCCTCATCACTGTCTGACATACTCTCACAGGCCAATCCACAGAATTTGCATGAACAATAAACACAGTGCCAGTCTCCAGAAGGAACCTGCAGTAGCAAACTTATGAGTATGCATAATCAGGTTAATTTTGGAAGCATATAATATCCCAACACGAACAAACACAAGGTATAACCATTTAATCCTCCAATGAAATTTACTATGAATATTATTTAAATAATGACACAAGACAATCACACATATCTAACGACTTCCTTTTATGACTGATAAATGCCAAAGTAAATTGCATTCCTGTAACAAATACAAGAAAATGTAAACAGTTCACTCAAATGCTTATGCTTCAGCTTGAGTGAAGAATGCCAACCTAGTATCTATTTTTCAGAACCAAAAGGAAAGGAAATCATAAAGTTATAAACAAACTTTGGAGCTAATCTATGAAGAAGAAATGCTTCAAATTAGCAATCTGGAGAGTTAAGAACTGTGACTGTAAGCACGTGCAGAATCAAGTTCAAACTGATCATGCAAACATCGGAGTTAGAAGTTACTATCAGAGGACGAAACACATCACACAACTATAGAGTAATGGAAGTCCTGCTTACATACTTCAATAGATAAGCAGTCATCATGGAAAGTTGACGGACAACTATCACAACAAATCAAGTCACCGCCATCACCACACACATTGCAGGTGTCGTCATTAGGATCATCACCTTCCACATCCACATGAACAAATCCAATGTCACCTTTTTTCACATGTTTTTTCCAGGTATCCACCAAGCACTGGAAAAGTGAAACCCCAGAATCCAGATATATATCCTCATACAAGTTTCCATCTATACTTTCAGCATGTGACACAAATTCCCGAACCCCGTGTGTTTGTTTGCAAAGGTCACAACAGATCCCTTCCTTCGTAATCCTCCCCTCAGGCAACTTATTTCTGCTCCTTCCTCTCTTGTACTTCACTTTCCCGCCAAGAGGAACCGTACCCAAATCAATCATCCACGAGAGCAGATTCCGATTTCCCTCATACACATTGACACCGCCATCCAAACCATCCTTATGTTTACGAGCCAACAAGGTCCGTTGGCTGCCTTTATTCAATCTTGATTTAGTCCCTCCATCAGATGATTTTCGTTTGGATGACTCCTTTCTCATCTTTGTCTTAATAGTCTTTCCTTCACCATTCTTCTTTTTACCTGACTTCTTGGTGATTCTGAAAAGAATGCTGAAGGTCTCCTCCGGTATAGGAGAAAATACCGATACCTCTTCCTCATCTGCCGTTCCCATATCAATCCTTTCTTTAAATTTCCTGTAAGCCAATGTGCACGACCAGTAAGTCTTTCCAAACCGATCGACATAAACGGCATCCTGATAGTCTTTGGATTGCCTCTGCCTATATTGAATGGTCCATCCCGCCTTCGTAATCATGGAAACTATTTGATCCCGAATGACCTGCTTCTGCTCCCGAAGACCCATCTCATTACCTTGAGCAGGCCTAGGCATTCTCTTTTCTTTCTTCATAACAACATTATCCGACTCATTCGTATTGACATTTTTATTCCTCGTCAGTCGATTCTGTTTCTTAACACCTGTTTCGTTACATTCAGAAAGCTCATCTGTCCCTTCTTCCTTCTGAGAGACGCCATTCAATGTATCATCCGTTCTAACCTTCAATCTCTTCACCGGACCTGCATCATCATCATCATCATCACTCGTCTTCACGATCTTCTTCTCAATTTCCAAACCCATATCCCCATTCTCCATCTTGCGAGGCCTTCCTATTTTCCCCTTCACTTTCAACCTCCCTCGACCTCGGACGGGCTTATTACTACTCGCACCCACCTTCTTCAACCTCATTGCCTCGTCCTCTTCCTTTGACATACTCAACCGTGAAGCCTCGGATTTACCATTTATGGGAGGCCTACCCCTCTTTCTCTTCTCTCCTGTGCTCAACGAGGATACCTCGGATTTAATCTCAGTTTTCCGCGGCCTTCCTCGTTTACCTTTCATCTTCCTTTTCCGAAAAACGGGCACCTCACTTTCACTTTCAGACTCCGCTAAATCCACTGGATTTTCATCTGTATCGTCCAATTTAACTGTTTCCACCACCTGGGTACGCACTGCCCTCGACCTCAAAACCCTACCACTCTTGGGTAAGCCATCAGAACCCTCATCTCCTTTCTCAGTCAAATCAATATCCTTCTTAATCCTTTTCCGTTTTTTATCAACGGGCACCTTGTTCAGATCAAACAACTCGTCTTCAATCTCTCCACCTTCTGCCATCATTCATCAAATACACCAAAACCTGCGAGAGATTATCAAATGAAGCAAAAATGTAACGATGAAAAAAACC